ATCTAAGGGGTCAAATGATTTCCATTACAACACTAAAATACTTATCTACTCACACTGTTAACTTCTGAACTGCAAAACTGCCAACACCTCAACATAGCCAAGGCAGAGACACAGCATTCTTTACTGCCACAGCAAGTTCTTAAAAATAAAAAGGCAGAATGTTCTGGACAGGGATGGAGATACAGCCCATGTTAGAACACTTGCCAATCATGAACAGGATCTGGTTCCATCCCCAACACCATTAAAAAAAAAAAAAAAAAACCTGTGCTTGAATTACTGCTTGAACTCAGTGCCTGGATGCTGTCCTTAAGGGTGGCACTCTGCCACTTGAACCATAGCTCCACTTCTGACTTCTTCCTGGTTAACTGGAATCTCATGGCTGTTCCTGCCAGGACTGGCTTCCAACCATGATCCTCAAATCTTAGCCTCCTGAGAACCTATGATTACAGACATGAGCCATGAGCACCTAGCTGTAAAAAATCATTTTAATCCATGTGTACATATGTACATATAGTATAACTTGTTTATGATGGGAATATACAAGTTCTGTTTTATATTGAAGAATGATAGCTGACTGTAGAAAAATCATCTGTGGGGGCTGGGAAGGTGGCTCAGTGGTAGAGTGCTTGCCTTGCATGGCTGAGGCCCTGGGTTCGATTCCCCAGCACCACATAAGCAAAAAGAAAAAAGCCAGAAGTGGCGCTGTGGCTCAAGTGGTAGAGCACTAGCCTTGAGCTGAAGAGCTGAGGGATAGCACCCAGGCCCAGAGTTCAGGCCCCACGACCAAACCCGAAAAAAAAGAAAAATCATCTGTGTAACTGAATTTTAAGTGAAACTTGGGCAAAAAGGAAAAGAACAAAAATAATTTAATATCCTCAAATACATGTAAGAAGATGATCGAATAAAGACATTGTTTTCTTTCAAAGATAGCTACTTTTCATGTTAAATGTTATTTGTGTTGCTGTATAATGGGCCTATTATTGTTTGTAAATGAATTTATAAATATTTCAAAATTTTAATTACTAGTACAATAAATATACACATAACACAAATAAATAAAAGGTCTTGGAAGTCCTTTTAAGGATGCAAAGAAATCCTATAACTAAAAAAAGTGTGAAATACATGCTTTTCTAAGTTAACTGCAGTCGTCCACATTCTCCACTTATACCTTGCATAGTCATTCTCTGTGAAAGGCCTAAACACATAGAAAAGAGACTCTGGCTACCAGCTACTTAGTATCCTGTAGATGACCAAAACAGAACAGGAAAAGGTGGCTATAACTTACTCTCTGTTGTAAATAGGCATAGCAGCTCACACCTATAATTGCAGTTACTAAGAAGTAGAAATAAGAAGGAATAGGGGGCTGGAAAGGTGGCTCAGTGGTAGAGTGCTTGCCTTGCATGCATGAGGCCCTGTGTTCGATTCCTCAGCACCACATAAGCAAAAAGAAAAAAGCCAGAAGTGGCGCTGTGTCTCAAGTGGTAGAGCGTTAGCCTTGAGCTGAAGGGCTGAGGGACAGCGCCCAGGCCCAGAGTTCAGGCCCCACGACCAGACCCAAAAAATAAAAATAAAAAAAAAAGAAGGAATAGGGTTTGAGCCCAGCCCCAACAAAAAGTTACTGAGACTCCATGTTAACAAGTAAGCTAGGTGCCATGGTTCACACCTGTAATCCCATGTACACAAGAGGTAGGAAGGTAGGTATACAGGTAGGAAGATCGTTGTCAGACCTATTCATGGGCAAGTAACTTGAAATCATATCTAAAAATATAACAGTAAGTAAAAAGGACTTGAGATGTGTCTCAAGCAGTAAGCACAAGGTCCAAATTCAACTCACCAAATGTTTTTCCTTGTTCTACTTACAAATGGCATAACTATCCATAGTAGTAGATTGCTAACTTTCACCCAGAGTAGCGAATGAAAGATAGAAAAATCCTTCCTTGGAGGAAGCAAGTAAAAAAATGGATGAAAAGCCAAGCGCTGGTGGCTCATACTTGTAATCCTTGCTACAAAGGAGCTTGCTACAGAGCCAGCCTAGGCAAGAAAGACCATGAGACTCTTATCTCCAATTAACCACAAAAAAAGAGACAGCAATGAACTATAGCTCAAGTGGTTGAGGACTAGCCTTAAGTAGAAAGCTTAGGGACAGAACTCAGTCCCTGAGTTCAAGTCTCAGGACAGTCACATATTTTTTTTAAAGAAGATGAAAACCTATTAAAAAGATACATTTTAGAAAAATCACACTGAAGTATAGTGAAACTCAGTAAGAAAAAGTAATGAACCATACACTTTAGCCTACTTTATTTTACTAAAAACAAATCAGAGGCAGACCCCAAAATGGTCTTCCCGAGTCTTACTACCTTAAACGTATACTCCTCTCTCTTAGATTTCCAAAATGTTATAATAAGTGAGTAACACTTGCTCATTCAAGTCACCTCCTAGTGAGGACACACTCCAAACATACGCCACTGCTAAGTGCAATGAATGGAAACACACGCTGATGAGTATCTCTTTTCTTATGACAAAAAACAATAGCAAATTCACTGCTGATGTGTATCAGTTCCACAAGCTGACAACTTTAATCCACTGCAACTCCAAGACCCCACAAGGCTTTTGGTTTTCTGCTCTCTAGCTCTTCCTGACTGTAGCTTCACCTTTGCAAATCTCAGTCAGCTACGCCCAAAACAGAACCCCAGCCACATCAGGTAAGGACTACAATCATTTACAAATAACTTATCATAAGTTGAAGGCTGATTGAAAATGTGAGGCCAAAATGTGGCAGGCCTGTGTAAGCCCCTCCTTCATCTGGTTATTAACAAGGACACAGAAATAGCTATCTTTTTCAGAAAAGCAATGAAATAAGTTGGAGAGAACAAAAGTTCCTAGAGGACAGGACAGTTCGTAAGATCCTTACTATCCATTCCTAACCATTGCTCTTGGCTGTACGTTCCCCTGCCTCCCCCCTCCCACAAAAAAAAACAGGTTAAAAAAAAGTAAAAATGGGATGAACACAACTTAGTATACAAAAAAATCCACAGGTAAGTACAGCAAGATGCAAATGAAGTAAAAGAAGAGACGTAAAATTCAGGCATAAACAGAACAAAAATTCAAAGAGATTAAAAAAATTCTGCCAAAGCTCCTCCTTGGGCTGCAGGTAGCTCAAGCGGCAGAGCACTTCCTTGGCAAGTGAGAAGTCCTGAATTCAAATCTCAGTGCCACAAGAAGAAGAAGAAGAAAAAAGTACTGCTATTACAACAAGAGGAAGATGTAGAACAAAAATAAAACAGCCAGATACTGGTGGTTCACCCCTGTAATCCTACCTACCCAGTAGGCTGAGATCTGAGGACTGAAGTTCTAACCAGCATCTCTAACCAACAAAAATGCCAGGCTGGAGGCATGGTTCAAATGACAGAGTGCCAGCTGTGAGTTTTTTTAAAAAAAGCCCTAGGGGCTGAGAAGGTGGCTCAGGGGTAGAGCGCTTGCCTTGCATGCATGAGACCCTGGGTTCGATTCCTCAGCACCACATAAGCAGAAAAAACCGGAAGTGGGGCTGACGCTCAAGTGGTAGAGTGCTAGCCTTCAGCTGAAGAGCTGAGGGACAGCGCCCAGGCCCAGCTTTCAGGCCCCACGACCGACCAAAAAAATAAAAAATTTAAAAAAAATTTTTAAAAAGTCCTGAGTTCAAGCCCTAAAATGGGCATAAATGAATAAGTAAAAGCAACTATTGCCAAATACTTCCAATTGCTTGAAAAGCAGAAAACATCTGTAAAAATAACACGCTTTCCAATTTGCAACAACTGTTTACACTGAGACTGTGAAGCAGGTAAAGTTTAATCTCTTTTGTATGGGACATTTTTCCTCCTCTTGTATACAGTAAATGCTACCACTTAGCAAAAAATGTTCCCTGCCTGCAAAGAAACGGAGTACTTATGGACCTTAAGACTAGCAAGGATCTCAGTTTACCCAAACAGATGCACCTGTCATATGTGCTCCAATCCTTAAACTGAAACCTCTGCCATCTCTGTCGCCTACAGCTCTAACTTCACCTACTTTCCTGTGACAAGACATAACATGAATTTAACTACTGGCTACCTGGTTAGATCAAACACAAATTAAGTTCCTAATAATTCAGGAAATTTTAGGGGGAAAAAAAGTATTTAGGTTTCCCAGGTGCATTAGGAAAACAACCTCTGGGCGAGAAATCATGTTAATTTTAACCTAGGGTCCAGAGCAGGCGACTTGTTTTCTGGTACGTCAGAACTGAGATCTGGAGGGTGGAAGCCAACCTGAGAAGAAACACTGGATAGACTCCACCTCCAAAATAACAAGCCAAAAATCAAGTCAAGAAGCAAGGCTTCAGGAGGAGCCCAGCCTAGAAAGCCCAAAAGTAACACTAAAAGAACATGAACAAATGACACACGGGGCAAAGCCCCGAGGTCAAAGGGATACCCAGACTCTTGAAAGCGAATTGATGCACACCGGTTCAAGACCACGAGGTCCTCTTCTCCTGTTTGGCCTCTGGGCAGGCAGGAGAGGGCTGGGGATGGAACGCCAGGTAGCCCCGAGGAGGGCAGGGCAGTGCGGGGACCGGCAGTGCGGGGAGGGGTGAGGCGCGCCGGGACGCTGCCTCCCTAGGGCCCCACCAACTTCCAGCTACGCTCCGAGTCCAAGATAAACTAGCAGCAATGGAGGGAACCCCAGGCAGCGAGAGGGGGATCCCCTCTCGACAGCTGCCTGGCCAAGCAGCTAAAGAGGCCTGCAGGCCTGAGCCCGGGCCGTCGCGCCCGCTGCACCCCAGCACCCCGCGGCCCCCAGCCTGGCTGGACCCAGGCGGCCGGCGCCTCGGGAGCGGAGCGCATGCGCAGTGCGCGGCTCCTCCCGGCGAGGCGCGGCCCACTCCCCCTCCCCCCTGCGGCCGCCACAGGCCGCGCCAGGCCCCACGCCGCCGCCCGCGGACCGGGCCTCGCGCCCCGCAGCCGCCCGGACAGACCCCCCGGCGTCACCTGGGTGCCCTCCTTCGGATTCGTACGTAGGGTAGACGTGCTAGGGCCGCGGAGCAGGCGGATTTCTACAGGTCAGGGTGCCACCGGCGTACTCCGTACTCGCTTCAGTTTAAGCTCAGCGCCTTCCTGGTTCCAGCGCCAGGCAGCGTCAGCCGAGCTTCCGAGTGCATCGATGCAGGCTACCAGGGCGACCGGAATGCCGAAGGAGTAGATCGGTCTCGCCGCCAATTTTTTGTTTGGTGTTTGTTTTGCATGCTTGTGTAATTGGATTTGCCTGTTCCCAAAAGCAATAAAGGTGCGATTGGAGGACTGTACTACCTGGCTGATCGCCCTTATCGTCACAGATAATCAGTAAATCTGCATCTGGGAAGTTATGTTTAAGACAACCATCTCCTTGCAAAATTGGTTAGCCCGTGCTGGGAGGAGGGGAAGTTCCCCCAACAATAAATCCTGGGTGTGTGTCTGTATAGAGTCCTGTGTGATTAAATTCTAATGATTTATTTGCAAAAATGCATTAAAAGTCTACCCTGGAGGTGAAGGCACTCGCAGGTTAGGTGTAAATTAGTTTCTCAGATTAAAGGAACCAGTTGGAAGAGAAATAATAATAATAATAATAATCTACCGGATGGAAGAACAGGAAGTTTCTTCTAGAAGTCAAATGTGTACATTAAAAAAAAATTAAGCCAACAAACTAAAACATGTCAACATTTTCCGTAACTCTCAATGCGTTACTTTCTCTTACATTAAAAAAAAATCTCTATTTTGAATTATTTACCATAAGAAAGCAAAGGTAAAAAGATACAAACAACTGTTAGGCTCAGTTTGGGTGGACTGTGAGAACCAATTCGTGTGCAGCTGCTAGGTAAACCAAGGTGCAGCTTTCCACAGATATTGCCCATGGTGAAATTACCTCCTCCATGGTATATCCGTAATAAATAACTGCACTTTAGCCAGTTTTGAAAGAACATTTTTAATACAAAATGCTACGTTTCTTTTCAATAATTCAAGAATTGAGGTACCCCCTCTGGGTCCTGAATTTTATTGAAACTTGTATATCTGTCCACAGGCTATCAGTTGAGTTTTCACTTCAGTGATTCTCTTTGCAAAACTGCTCTTTGAAATGTTTTATCTGTGGAAAACATTTGTCATTAAGTAAAGAAACAACACTAGAAGTTCATAGCATTTATTAAAAACGTTGGATTAAAAAAAAAAAAACAGCTTCCCCCAAAGGGGACATATCAGGGATATGGAAAGGGAGAGAGGAAGGAGAAAGAAAAAGAGAGTGAGTGGATATGGCCAAAATACATTATGTGCGTGTATGGAAATTTCATCGTGAAAACCATTACACTGTACACTTACTATATGCCAATAGATTTTGTAATTAAACTTCCTTTAGTGAGTAGGAATCTGTGTCCAGACACTGCAGTCTTCTCATTGCTCTTTCTAATATCAATACTAGCATCCTCATATTTAAAATATGCCAGTGAGCTGAGATCATGGGGAAATCTTTTGGTTCACATTACCAAACAACAGATCTGAGGTGATCTTTAAAGTGGCTGTCTTGCCCTCAAGTTCAGTAGATGAGATTTAACTTTATACTTAAAAGTCATGTGCATAAAAGGAGAAAGAAATGACTGGAGAAATGACTCTTAGACTTCCAATAGTGCTTACCGAGTTGCTGTTTGTGAATATGCATTTTTACACCGCCCTTTGAGAGCTCTTGCATTACCTGGTCCATTTAGCTGACCCCATTATTGGCCACTCTGTTACTTAAAAAAAAAAAATCTTTAAGACAGAGTCTCATGCAGGACTAAGTTTTATGACTGTTCCCCTATAATAATACCGGAGTTAAAATGGCTATAGGTTGTATACCAAGACTCGATGTGAAGTTACATTCCTAAATTCATTCTAACTGTCAAAAGTCTAGGTTTTTGCATTTCTTATTGAATAAAAGCAAATGTTCCTATATTTCATTAATACCTAAAACATCTACAAGTTATTGCTACGAATATTTTAATGGTATTTGCCCTAAAAGTAGCACGCAAAAACGACGTTTTCAGAAGACAGCTTCAGAGGAAAGGCAAAGCAGCATGATTTTCACCTTTCTTAAATTTGCCTAACATGAACATTCCCTCTGTAGTACAAACTGATGATACAGTCTCTACTTACCTACATTTGACTCTGTAGTACATACAAACTGATGTTATATACAGTCTCTCTACTTACCTACATTTGACTCTGTAGTACAAACTGATGTTACTACAGTCTCTACTTACATTTGAGAGACTTTATATACCGAAGTTTAACCGTGTTCTCTTCCCACACACGTTTCAGACTGTTTTGACAGAACTTGTCCAATCATTTGCTTACTTGAACACTTTAACCAAGGAGTAGAAGATATGGGTATTCGTGTTCTGCAATTGCTTTTTATTTTTACCAACAGTTTTAGATCTATGATAATGAATACAACCTTAACATCAGAAAGACTGCATTAATACTCCACGTACTTGAAAATGCTCCCAAAGCCACACTTCAAGAGGCATATTTGTTTACAGGATCGAGTAACTGTAACTCTCCCGTGTAAATATTCGGTTGTGAGTGTATGTCTGGCAGGTATTTGAATCTTCTCAGCAAGAAAATGCAGACAGGGGCTCAGGAATATTCACGTTTCCATAAAAAAGAAAGAGCCAAAATATAATTTTTTATATTCTGAATCCTATCACCGAGAGCGAGCGAGTGAGTGAGTGAGCGAGCGAGAACGCGCCTTCTCCAAGTGTGTCTGTTTTCCTCGGCCCACCGTAGGTAAACGTACACGGGGCACAAACTCCGCATTGTTTCTGCCACGCTTGCAGAGGGGCCACCACGGGTTTTCAGAATTAGGAGGCCAGCCCAGATGTGCGTGGTGGGTGTCAAGGAGGAGGCGGGGGCCCGCGGGGGTCCGACGGTGAGGGTCCCGGGACCTGAGCATGGAGCGCGGCAGAGCCGGCCGGGCTGGGCAGCGCTGGGGCCCGGGCGCGGCGTGGCAGCGCGGGCGGCGCGGCGACCGGGACTCCACGGAGCGACTCCAAGTGCGGTGGCCGCAGCGCGCCCGGACCCCGGCCCGGCTGCGGACCTGGGGGGCGACCCAGAGGGGGCGGAGAGGCCGGACTGCGGTGGAAGCGGCGGGCGGGGCGGGGAGGCCGACGGAGCGAGCCCCGGGGCCGTGAGCGAGCAGACGCCGAGCGCCCCCGCGGCCGGGCGGGCGGCGGGCGGGCGCGGCGGGGACCGGGCGCGGCGGGGACCCCGCACAGCCGCGCGCAACGCGGCTTCCTCGTGGCCCCGCCCCCGCGCGGTGCACCCCGCTCGCGGTGCTTCACTAAGTCCTGACACCAGCGCGGAACCCGCGCCTAATTAAATTAATGAGGGGTCCTTGTCAATCTCGGGTTCACGGCCGAGCGCACCGGCTACCTGGAAACTGAACTGCCGCTCCGGCCTCGCGGACACGGGGCGCTCGCTCTCTCTCTCTCTCTCATATGTACATAGATATATACATAGATATAATATCTCATCCCTCCTCTCTCGCATCTCTCTGGCTCTCTCTAATCTCTCATACACACACATATATACATTATCTGTCATCTCTCTCTAATCTCGCTCCGTCTCTCTAATCTCTCATCTCCATCCCATCTCCCGTCTCTCTATTTCTCATCCCCCCCCCCCTCCCGTCCCCGCCCCCGCCCCCCCCAGGTGCGGCGCGGCGGCCCCCCGGGAAGGGCCGGGGCCCGGGTGCGGGCGGCGGGGACTCGCGGGCCCGGCCGGGAAGTATAAATAGTGCGGCTGCAGGGCGCGGCGCCGGCTCGGCCGGAACCCCGGGCCCCGGGACGGTGGGCGAGCTCCGCCGAGCACCCGCGCGCGGGCCGGCCGCGGGCCGCCTTTTCCTCCGGGCCCCCGCCCTCCTCCCGCGCCCCCCGCCGGCCTCCACCCCCCCTCCTCCGGCCTCCCCTCCCGATCCTCCCCGCCCTCCCCTCCGTCCTCCCCTCCCTCCTCCCCCTCCTCTCACTTCTTTTCCTCCTACTTCTCCCCTTTCTTCTTTCTGCTCTTTTCCTCCCCTCCTCCCCTCCCTCCTCCCCCACCCCTGCCCCATTGATGTGCTGTTATTGGGGGGGCTGGAGCAGTAAAAAAAGAAGGAAAAAAGGAGCGGGGCTCAGCGGGGAGAGGTCGGGCGCGGGCCGGCGGGCGGCGATGGAAGAACTCACGGCGTTCGTCTCCAAGTCCTTCGACCAGAAAGTGAAGGAGAAGAAGGAGGCCATCACCTACCGGGAGGTGCTGGAGAGCGGGCCGCTGCGCGGGGCCAGGGAGCCGGGCGGCTGCGCCGAGCCGGGCCGCGACGACCGCAGCAGCCCCGCGCTCCGGGCGCCCGGCGTTGGCGGCGGCGTTGGCGGCGGCGTTGGTGGCGGCGGCGCGGGCGGAGGCGGCGGCGGCGGCGGAGGGCGCTCCCCCGTCCGGGACCTGGACATGGGAGCCGCCGAGCGAAGCCGGGAGCCGGGCAGCCCGCGGCTGACCGAGGGTAACGGCCGACCCCCCACCCCCACCCCGCCACCGCGCCCCAGCTCCGGGCCACGCTCCCCACCCCACCCCGCACCCCAACTCCAGCCCACGCTCCCTTCCCGCCTTCCCGGCCTTTCCCGGGCGGGAGACACCCGGGTCGGCCGGGGAGGGGCGGCCCGCGCAGGGCCCCGGCGGGGAGCGGGCCGGCCAGGCCCGGGTGCGCACGCTCGCGGGCGGGCGGGCGGGGTCCCGCCGTGGGAGGGGGCGCGGGGCACGTCCGGCCCTAGCTGTCCCGCTGTGCCCGCACGCAGCCCGGCCCGCGCTCAGCCCGGCCCGCGGGACCGCAGGCGGACGTGGAAGTTCGCGCGGGGCGCGATCTGCCCGGCGGGAGGGGAGCGGGCTGGGGCTCGCAACGCGGCCCGACGGAGGCTGCTGCCTCCCGGGGCGCAGGGGGTCGGGGCCCGAGCGGAGAGCGCCGAGATGCGGGCAGCCACGGTCGCGCCCCGGGCCGCCGCCCCGGACTCCCCGGGGACGCTCCGCTGAGACCCCGCATCCTGGGAGCGGGGATGGGGGTGGGGTGGCCCGGGAACCAAAACTTCCCGCTCCGCCGGAGC